GTGATTACCGACTTCCAATATATGAATATGGATTCATCACTTTCCAATCTTGAACGTGTATAATTCTTTAATTCAAACCTTGCATGAAATCAAAAGAATATTAGTTACTTTCCGAAATCTGAATATTAAATTAGAATGAAATCAGAAAGAAGAAAGATGAGATGCAAATGATGCGATCGGTCGAGGCAAGTGTTTGACACTTTGTCCTTAAAATGAATTTGCCCCGCATCGGTGCTAACGGCTTCTCGACAATCATCTCCCAAGATACAACGGCCACGTCTAGCCATAGGAGCACTCCAAATGACTTAAACCAACGAGTTCGAACGGAGTTCCCTCTCTACCATAACCATGATTTTTGATACAAGAAATAATCACTTCTACAAAGTGGTTTATGTAAAACTAAAGTAAAATATGGAATGGAATGATATGGAATTATCAATTGAATTGTTCCTCTTTCTTGTTGTTAATCCAAACACATGGAGATCTATATATATAGTAGTTGGAACATCCATACCAAGAGACACATCTCTTGGAATTTAAATCTCTCCATAAAGAGGTACAATTACATCTCTACATAAAGAGACCATTATTGAAAAATAATGCTAAGAGTCAAGATCCATATGAAAAGACTCATCTTTTCATCTACTCATTCTCTAAAATATTCCACAATATTCTATACAATTTCCAACAATTTCAAGCATTTAAGCATTTTAAGTTTGGTTTAATTTCTCATTCACCAATCAAAAAATTCCACTTAAACAATCACTTAAATAAATCACAACCAATTTCGAATTTTCCAACATGTTACACAAAAATATGTTAAGGGAAATGTTGATAATCTCCATTGTGCTATTTTTATCTTAAAGTTTTAGCAAAGGATACTGTTTTGAAAAGTTTCCTTGGCTGACATTATTTGCCCACGTATACTTTCTTGAACCATTTTCTGTATGAAGACACTAACATATGACAAATCAAGAAACAAAATAAATACATAACTAAAGATTAGAACAAAAATACCATAATTAGTAGAGTGGTTGGAGCAGTTAAAGAAAGTATGTCCTCTCTCATCCTTCGCTTTTTAGATAAGAAAAACCCCATTATTATTTCTAGCTAATTCCATGCTTAAATTCTTCATATATCCTTCTTCAAACTTTCCAAGAGCTCGAATCAGTATTTTTCTCCATGGAGGACTCAAAATCAAAGCCATGGATTCCTTTCACAGCAAGTTGTTGTTCTGTGGAAGATCATTCAATCTGTAGAAACTTTAGCAGGTGCAGACCATCTAGGTCTGATTTTTCCAAGGATGTTGCACCATTACCTTCATTTCGAAGGTTGTCATTTTCTGACCTCAGTACTAGGTCTAATTCTACAAGGATTAATGAAGATCTTCAACAGTCTTTTGGACAGGATTTGTATGATTTCCAACTTAGCGAATTACGCGGTGTAACACAGAATTTTTCGAGCAATTTCTTGTTAGGCGAAGGTGGTTTTGGGACTGTGCATAAAGGCTATGTTGATGACAGTTTAAGGCCAGGGTTAAAGGCTCAAGCAGTTGCTGTAAAGCTTCTTGATATTGAAGGGCTTCAAGGGCACAGAGAATGGCTTGTAAGAATTTCTTTTCACTTTGTTAGATTTGCATCTATGATGAAATATTTCATTGACTACTTTCATATGCTTCCGAGAATGTTCGACTTGCTTAAAAGCAATTTTTTGTTGACTATGTAAATAGATGCTGTCGAAAGAAGTTGACGATTAAGCATGACAAAACTTACCATAGTTTCTTGTAGTGTTTCGTCTCAAGATATGGCCACGAAAGGATTAATCATGAAGAATTTTGGATTTATAATTTGTTACACATCTTTCTCGAATAATATAAGGTATACTATATAAGTATTTCGTTTAATTGAGCATGAAAAATGTATATTTAGGAGACGTATAATATAAAAAAGAAAGACACGTCATGAAATTTATTAATTGTATAATCTAATCGTGTTTACTCTTAGCACGTCAAACGTTGGTAACATATTTCATTGTCCTTCCATTAGTCTAACTACTAAAAAATTTCAAAAAGCAGTCCCATTATTGTATTGAACTGGTAAAAATAAAACAAATTCAGTGGGCCCATATGTTGACCTTCTTAGCCTTCTGGTCCACACACCAAATTCTCCATAAGCAAAATGACATTTGGTGAAAAAACCCCAAATTTTTGGTCCCACTTGGAGTGTTATTCCAAATTATTTGAATCTTTACAAAACATAATATTCTTTAATCTCATTATTATCCATTACTTTCTACTTGAAGGCCGAAGTGATATTTCTTGGGCAGCTAAGGCACCCAAATTTGGTCAAGTTGATCGGTTATTGTTGCGAGGATGAAGAACGGCTTCTTGTATATGAATTCATGTCTCGAGGGAGCCTCGAAAATCATTTGTTCAAGAGTAAGTTTCTAAGAGAAAATTAAGCAAATTGTAAAAAAATATTATAAAGTCATTAACGTGACTCATTATTAATGCAACAAACAATATTCTCAATAAATTTCGAATTAATCTTTTTAAAATTAATAATTACAGGGTTATCAATCTCATTGCCATGGTGTACAAGACTGAAGATTGCTATTGGTGCAGCAAAAGGGCTTGCTTTTTTGCATGGAGCGGAGAAACCTGTTATATATCGCGATTTCAAAACTTCTAATATATTACTAGATTCTGTATGTAATTATTTTGCACTTTAACTTGTTTATTGGATAAGAATGACACAAATAAGATTAATTGCGGGTTGAAAATATATTATTATGTTTTGGTAGGAATTCAATGCTAAATTATCAGATTTTGGACTTGCAAAAATGGGGCCTGAAGGATCAAACACACATGTGACTACTCGAGTGATGGGAACTTATGGATACGCAGCTCCTGAGTATGTAAATACTGGTAAGAAATTAGTAGTTGAATAAAAGGGTGTAGATTCGAGCTTAGACGTTTCAACCTCCATTAAGTCTAAAATCTAGAGAATTGACTCGTTTGTAGTTATAAAATTAATTCTTTTACAAAATTGGATTGAATTTGCTTATATAAATTTTTTATAATTGTCGACCCCTAACCAACGGTTAAGTCTATCTTATCATGCAATGCAGGTCATCTTACCACGAAAAGTGACATTTATAGTTTTGGAGTCGTCCTCCATGAACTATTGACAGGGAGGCGAGCAATGGATAAAACAAGGCCCAAGAGCGAGCAAAACCTGGTGGATTGGGCCAAACCCTACTTGACCAGCACCCGAAGGTTGCGGTGCATAGTCGACCCGAGACTAGCCGGCCAGTATTCTGTAAAGGGTGCAAAGGAAATGGCCGTTTTGGCATTACAGTGTGTGAGTCTGCAACCAAGGGACAGACCCAAAATGCCAGCAATTATTGAGACTCTTGAAAGCCTGCAGCATTTGAGGGATATGGCTGTAACTTCGGGACATTGGCCCGTATCACCTAAATCGGGCCGAAATAATGCCGCCCATTATGCCAAAGGGAGAAAGGAGAGTGGATTTGGGTGTAAGAATTCTGTTGCTGCTGCTAGTCCTAGGATTAAGAGCAAATAATTATGATACCTGAAATACTTGAGGAATTTGGAAGTGTTGAATAAATGTTGTACAAAAAGAATGTAACAACGTTGACCCTAATATTGTGTGATTGTCTATGTAATATATCTACGTACATCTATACTTAGTGGCATATGTATGTTTATTAAGTTATGATGTTGATTAATTCGTGTCAGTAATGCACTATTGAAGTTGTATAATTTGATTTTGAGATGGCCACAAACCGTGCTTCTATTTTTTAGACTATCTAGGTCTAAATGACCCCTTTTAAGTCTGTCGGACCTCAAATTTGTCGGAGATATTACACCGATATTGCCCTAAATTTATATTCAAATCAACACGTACATTTTTATGCTCATGAAATCGATATAGAATTCGACTTACCAAAACGGAATTTGAGAAGACAAACAATAATTATTGAAGTCGAACATGTGTCGATGGATGTTGTTGGACATGCTTCACTAATTGTGTACCAGATATACAGAATAGATATAGTATTAGGGAATTCATCTTAAGATTGTTGGAGTTATTATACCGATAATGTGCATATTATATTCAAATCAACACGTACCTTTTTATGCTCATGAAATTGAAATAGAATTTGACTTATCAAAATGGGATTTGAGAAGACAAACAATAATTATTGAAGTCAAACACGTGTCGATGGATGTTGTCGGACAAGCTTCACTAATTGTGCACCGGATATACAGAATAGATACAGTATTAGTGAATTTTACTTAAGGCGTGTGTATGCCTTACTGAATTGAAATTCTGCCATAAGTTTTTACTTAAGGCGTGAGCACGCCTTACTGAATTGAAATTCAGCCATAAGTGGATACTTCGAATATAATAATATGGATTCGTCACTTCCCAATATGAGTGAACACTTTTTGTTCTTAAATTCAAACCTTGCATAAAATCAAAAGAATATTACTTACTTTCCGAAATCAAAATACTAAATTGGAATGAAATCGAAAAAGAAAGATGAGATGCAAGTAATGCGATCGGTCGAGGCAAGTGTT